AGGAAGGAAGGAAGGAAGGAGGAAGGAGGAAGGGCGGGCCTGTGCCTGCCTGTGCCTGCCTGTGCCTGCCTGTGGCTGCCTTTGAGGACAGTGTCATGTTCAGGGCCTGAGGGAGAGCTGGCCATGACGCCCCTCGCACTCTGGGCCGAGCCTGCGGGGCAGTGCTGGACTCAGGTCTGGCCAGGTGCCTCTGGAAAGTTCCTTTGACCGAGCAGTTTCTGAGCTGCAAGGTACAGCATCCTCTGTTGTCCCAAGTGGCACTGGGGATGCCAAGGTGAGCTGCAGCGACAGGCACCGCAACTTTGGTTAAAGCCTGCAATTTATTTATTCTGCTTAAAAGTTTATAAAATTCCTTTTACCCATTGTCCAAAAGGGATTCTTCTATCATTTAAACACATGCATACTCATGCCCAAATTCAGTTCAACGATGCTCTGAAATTATCTAAACGAGCGAGTGTGGTGGTACATACCTACCTGTGATCCCAGCACTCCGGAGGCTGAGGCAGGAGGATTGCTGCAAGTTTGAGGCCAGCCTGGGCTTCACAGTGAGTTCAAACTCAGCCTAGACTCCCTAGTGAGACTTTCTAAACAAAACAAAACAAGAAAGAGGGTTCTGGAGCTGGGGGCCAGGCTGTTCCTGGCCACACACGGAAGAAACAAGACACATCCTCGAGGCGTCCTCTCAGTGACACACGCTCCAGCTGCCTGGGTGGAACCTTGCAGTCTCCGCCTTGGCCTTCTTTGCCCCGGGCCAGGCCATGGCGATCATCGGTCTCTGGCCAGCAGGTGGCTTGGGGGGCCTGATCCCAGGTCCCCCCAGTCTGCAAGGCCACCAGCAGCCTCTCATCTCTCCTGTCATCACCCGCCTGAGGCTGCTGCCTTGACAGTGCCAGGTGCAGAGGACACAGCCGAGAGGTCTCAAGGACACAAGGAGGAGCTAGCAGCGTTGGCCCAAGGGCCAGACATCCTGAGGCACTTCCTGTAGCGATCACAGGCCAGAGTCCTCTTCCTCTGACCCAGAAGTAGCTGGTAGGAGCCCAGGCCTTTGGAAGCCTGGAACTCACAGTGGTCCTCCTGCCTCAGCCTCC